ACACTGCTAAGGGGAGCAGCGGGTGAGATAGGAGAGGTCTGCCGCACCCTGTGGGATTCTCGCCAGCTGGCTGGGATCGAACCCGCGCTGCAGGGGCTGTGAACAGCTTCATAGTGAGGCGTTCAACTGCCTGCACTATCAGAGAGGCCCTATCTTACGTGTTTTACTTAGTGAGAATCCATTTCTAAGGATCTGTTATAACTGAGGTCCTAGTTATATCTCAGCACTGACAGTATAGGACCAAAATGATAAATTTTATATGATAGCACTCTTCTAAATATATCCTTATAGATTTCCAGTATATGTAAGAGAGTTAAATCAATTAAGAATGGATGAAAGATTTGCTTTTACCTTCTATTTTTGTTGGAAGCTTGGATGGTTGGCAAAATGTTTCAAATCCTTCAGCCTTCCTTAGATGTACCTCCATTTCAGCATGACTTTGTAATTTTACCCATCAGAAGGTGAAGTCTGTTTTACACAAATGAATGTAGGTTAACTTTTTTTTTTAAGAATTTTTTTTTGTTTTAAGATTTATTTTTATTTATTTATACAAGCACTGGGTACAGTGAGCAGCGCGGGAGGGTGAGAGAAATCACCAGAGCCAGAGCGGGGAGCAGAGCAGGCAGACTGACTGAGTACACTGCTGAGGGGAGCAGTGGGCGGCAGGAGGGGTCTGCGTGCCATGTGGGAGTCTCACCCAGTGGCTGGGGATCGAACTGGCGCTGCAGAGGCTGCGGGCAGCTTCGCAACCCAGCGCTCAACTGCTGCGCCACCGGGGAGGCCCTATAGGTTAACTTTTAAATATACTTTGACCAAAAGAATATGGTGGAATTGATTGTGTGCAATTCTAAGCCTAGCAATCAAGAGGTCTTTCATACTGTAATATTCAGTACTGGAACCTGCTCTGACCTGGCTCCTTTGATAGAGGTTCAGAGGAGAAATATCCCCACCAACTCAGTGAAAGCCAACCTAGAACAGCCAGCTTCCAAGCAAGCTAGCAGTTGACTGCAAAAAACCAGAGTAAAGCAAGTGAACTCCTCAATTCAGCCCAGATTAGTAGAATTACTTCGGCAACCTTAGGCAAGACTCACCCGGAGAATTGTTTTAAGTCAGCAGTTTTGAAAGTGTTGTCTGGGGTCACCCTGGAATCACCAACACTTTTCTGGGTAACTGTAATATCAAAACTACCTTCAGAGTTATATTAAGACATTATTTGTTTCTTAATTCTCATTTGGTCAAAAGTATATAGGGGCTTTTCTCAAAGGTCACAAAATGTTCGATATCAATAGAGTGAATATGAAAGTGGGTATTAGGATCCAACAGTCATTTATTGAACATTAAAGTGATTAGAAAAAGGTGAAACAGTGCTATCTTTTCACTGAATTTTACTTTGATTAGAAAATGCACTTACTATTCACAAAAATGTTTATGTTACAAGTAATGGGTTTATTGTTAATGTGAAAGGAATTGATAAACATCTTAAACTTGAGATTTTAGTTTCTGATGCATTAAATAGCAATATGCAATGCATCTAAACAAATTTCTTTGGCATCACTCATACTTTTAAGACATTAAATATCCTGAGAACAAAAAGTCTGAGACCCACTATAATTTTTTCCTACAGTATTTCTCAATTATGAGAATAGCAGTTGCTCAGGTAAAAATCACTGTTCTTTGTCCCTTGTGACAAATTCCCCTAGCACACTGTGTAGTTCTAAAGCCTTGAAATCCATAAGCTGTGGATATATGTTCATTTCCTCAGAAATACTGATTTATTCTCAGTCTTATTGTTTTAGACTTGAAAAATGGGGCTTCTCTCCTTTCTAAAACACCCAGAGAAATATTGGTCAATATTAATTTATCTAGTATATAAGCAAATACTTACAGGCTGATTTTACACAAAGTAGTAATTTTCATGGAACAAAGTGCTAAGAATTTTAACTAAGAGAACATCCATTCACTGTTTTGGCAAATTTAGCTTGAGGTTGAAGATTGAAATATCCCAATGGAGTTGTGATAATGATGCACTCGGGGAGGTTAAGTTGCTTGCAAACTTTATCATACTAAGATTAAAAACTAAAGCATTTTGAAAGTGACACAGAAAGTGTCTCAGTACTCTAATATATAAAGAAAGGAAATTAACAAGACAATGACTCCTCAATTCCTGAGAAGTCATATTTACCAGGTGAAGATAGGTAATATGGAATCACCCATCTGTTATGATGAAAGGATTATGAAGAGTGCAATTGTATGTGGACTAGTCTTGCACACTACAATCTACAGTAACTCACTAAAATACCTCATAGGAAGCTGTCCAGTAACTGTATTTGAACAAAACAGCTTTTGCTTTGTTTTTAACTCTATGGCATAGCTGAAACAGTGGAGATGCAGGAAGTAGAAGATGTAATTAAAGAAACCCACCTCTTAGTGTATTAAAAAGACAAATGAATGACATATACACAAATATTTGGGAAGATATAAATTGCTGTGAATTCCGACTGCTTGTGGATGTTGTTGGAAAAATAACAAAAAATAAAACTATTGCTTTATGCACGTGTCTTTTTTTGAATTGTTAAAAAAATATTTTTCTTTCTTTCCTTTTTTTTAATAATTTATTTATGCATACATACAGGAACAGGGGTCAGACGTGCGGGAGGGTAAGAGGATTCATCAGAGACAGAGCGGCGAACAGAACAGGCAGACAGACTGAAATACACTGCTGAGGGGAGCAGTGGGCGAGACAGGAAAGGTCTGCCACGCCGTGTGGGTTTCTCACCCGCCACCCAGGATTGAACCTGCATTGCAGAGGCTGCAGACGGCTTCACAGCGCTGCGCTCAACTGCCTGTGCCACCAGGGGAAGCCCTATACATGTCTTTTCTATGTATAAAGAAATGAAAAAGATTTATATGTGTCCTGTCCAATTTTAACCCAGATAGCCCGAATGGACATTTTATCAATTGCTTACTTACATTGTAAGCATTAATGATAATTACAAGAATTCTAAAGGTTATGAAATTAATATTGTGTGTTTCAGGAGACTTTTGAAAAGAATAACACAAATTAGGCTTTTTAAACTTTATTCAAAGGCAGAATCAAAGACCATACCCATTTTCTTTGTTGATAGGGTCTAACAGTTTAGTAAGATTAATTTGATGAAGTCCTTGCTTCAGGGAATAGAAAAAAGTAACAGAGGCTTATAAAAATTATAGAAGGAAAAGGTTGGGGAACAAAGAGGTAGAAAATTAGTTTGAATTAAAGTTTTAGCATAGGTTAATTATTTGAGTCAAAAGAAAAAATATCATTGTTTATACTGTTGACAAAATGTAAGGAATTCAGTATTAGTATCTTTATAGACACCAATGCATTCAATATTTCTGCTTTCACACCAGTGTATTGTATCTCTATAGCACAACAAACTTCTTGATGAAAACAAAATAAACCCATTTACACACACATATGTATGCACTTTTAAAAGTGTCTTTAATATGAAAGAAAAAGTCTGCAGAGATTAAGATCAAAGTAAAGCCAGGAACCCTGAGAGGCAACTAATTACCAAAGTCAGTTTTCAACATCAGAACTTCTAGTAATCCTTGGAAGGTTCAGACTTCCCTTTGACTGTTTCATGAGGAAAGCATTGGAATGTATAATGGAGGACCTCCCTCACCATAAAATGAAAAATAAATTTTATGGGAAAAAAACATTTTGAAAGGAAATAAAGTCTTGTTCTTAGTGTTGGCTGGAGAGAAAAAAAATCTTAACAAAAATTTGGTCCCCATCGTAGATCTAACATTTAAATTCACACTATTTGGTCAAAAACCTAAACTAAAGCATTTAACTTAAAAGTGGTCCTGGGTTGACAATGCCTTTGGGATGACTGATAGAAGTAAATAGTGTAAAAAGAGAATTTTAAATCCAGCCTTCAAGAATTCTCAGAGATAGCATTCTACATACATGAAATCATAGTTAAAAACAAAAACACACAGGAATATAAGACTCATGAGTGATAGCAAATAGCAACAACACACAGTTCCATCAGAAACACAAAAATGAAAAAAGAGATTTGACTGGAACATAAGAACAAGAGACAAGAGACTGTTAAAATTGTAAAAGACACTAATGTACTTTCTTAACACAAAAATTATAAAAATCATCATCACAAGAGATTAATTTAAAAGAACTTGCAAATACAGATAAAATCAGTGAATTGGATATAGTTTCATAATTTAGTGTTATGTAACTATGAAGTGATATGAAAAAAATTAAGACATAATAAAAGATAGCAAAAAATGGAGGAAGTCACATTAAAAGAGAGAATGACTGAGGATTCCAGAAGTCCTGAAAATTATTCAGGAAGGCCAACAAATCTAAAGTGGGATGCATAAAATCCACATCTAGCTACATCAGGCAGATAGATTCAGGCAGATAAGGTGGAAGGTCTAGTAAGAAAGAATGTTGGGAAAAAAAGTAATAAAAATTTGAATAAATCCAATACAATATTATTTTAATATAATAATATCGGAATAATAGAGTAAAAGTACCCAAAATATTAACACACAAGGCTGTATGGCTCTTTAGAATTAAATAGTTTAAAATTTGCTTTTTAGAAAGACATAAAAGACATTAATGTGTGTGTGTGTGTGTGTGACTTTACTCTGGAAAAAAATCCTCATTCTGTCAGTATATTTATTTTTGTTTATGACTTTTTCTTGTCATGTTAATAAATTTCAATGGCTTAATAACCATATTGAGTCATATTCTTTGATAAATCCAGAAATTTCCAGTAAATATCCTGTAGTACTTATGGTGAAATCAGTACTGCTGAAAACATTAAACTTATGTACATAAAACTAATGAGTAAATATCCTCATTTTAATGAGGATAATTTTAACCCTCATTTGGGTATAGCTACCCCAAACACTTGACTTATAGGACATTTTTAATAATTTATAAAAAAATTGGTGGTCCTCAGAATTCCATGATGAATGACACCCAATCTCACCTTAAGAAAGCAGCTGTCATACTCCTTCTGGTATAGAACTTGTTCATACACTGAAAAAAAGGAAAGTTCAATATTATTCATACAATTTTCTGATAAAATGAAAATATTCTAAATAATTTGTTATCATTATGCAACTGTATTTTGCTTCTAAAGATTAAAACTTTCTAAATTGACAGAAAAATACAGAATAAACATTAGCATCCTTTTCATATATATCTCACAGACCATCCCTTTATATTAAAATCTGTCATTAAATGTTTGAAGTATATAACATAAAGCTATATGTTTATCTTTTAATAACAATAATTTATCTTCTAATATGCATTTTATTTTATTATATGGATATATTTCATTATATTCCGCTTAAGCACATGATTATTTTCCCAGAGAAAGTGACTTTTTCTAGCTTTACTTCACCTGAAAAATGCACTGGTTAGTTTGTTAGAGGCTTATCCATGTTATTGATTTTTCCATCACATGTAAAGACAACATTCAAGAGATTCCACCTGCTACAACTTTATAAATTCGCTGCCTGAAATTAAGTTTGCTATTGAATAGTTGCCAAACTATGTTAACAAGGATATTCAGAAGGAAATGGGTAGCTCTACCACAATGAATACAGGAAAAAACATCATTATAGATGTCCTTATAATCATATTCATACTTTAAGCAAAGGTAGCCTGAGGCATAAACATGTTATTTTTCTTTAATTTTCTCCACCATACTTAAAAGCACAATTTATATTTTTTTAAAACGCAGTCTAGGTGTCTCTAAGGAACCAATGATGTTATTTTCTGGAGTTTGATGCTTTGTAAACATTCTTTTGGACAATGGCTAATTGTGAAAATCCATATGCTCTTGAGGCTGAAATTGCTTTATGTCTCCTAATACCTCCATCAGCTTTCTTTATCTCTACTTAGGTATGTAGAGGTCAGCTTCTTGGTCAACAATTACCTTATTGTGATTTCTGTAGTTTTTACATATAGCAAGAATTCTTGCATTTGGAGAATGATATCTTAAAATGGTAGTGATCATGTTGGAATTCTCTTTTCAAAAAAATAATTTCTCAATATAGAACTATTACTATTACAGTTAATCAGTTATATTTTAGCACTGAGAGGTCAGGACCTATACGGAGACCCAATTTTTGTCAAGGGGCAGAAAGCAAGTAGGACTTAGAGGTCTAGATGTAGATTCCAAGGAATTTAGAAGGTTGTAGCAAAAGAGTCAAATTCTAGACTTTATTTATTTATTTAAGATTTATTTATTTATTTATACAAGCACTGGGTACAGTCAGAAGCGCGGAAGGGTGTGAGAATTCACCAGAGCCAGAGTGGGAAACAAAACAGGCAGACTGACGACATACACTGCTGAGGGGAGCAGTGGGCACAGCAGGAGAGGTCTGTACGCCACGTGGGGCCTTCTCTGGTGGCTGGGGATAAACTGGCGCTGCAGAGGTTGTGGGCAGCTTTGCAGCCCAGCACACAACCGCTGTGCCCCTGGGGGAGGACAAAATTCTAGACTTTAAAATTGATATGATTTAATCATACTAATTAATTTGGGGGTTATTGCCTCCTCTGAAGCATTATTATGCACAATAGTTGAATCACACTACACTTATTTTATTATAAAACATTTCAAAGAATTTTAAAAATTATTGCAAATATTGCTTTACATGTATTTTTCTCTAAGTTATTTGATGGAACATTTTAAATGTCAACATGTTTCCAATACACAAATTTCAACTATCCAAATATTTAGCTACTATCAGTAGATTGAAATAGATGATATGTAAATATATGTATATAATCAGGTTGCCATAATAAGGTGATGGTAAATTGCCATCATCTTTACATTTTATAAATGTAAACTTTGTTTCCGTATAAAAATAAAAATATATTTGTGGGAACTATCTCAGGGTAATGGTAATTGTCTAAGAATTCTACAAAGATAGAATACTTAAAATAATTATAGATTTGTAATGGTTAATGAAAGATTTAAGATAACAAAATCTAAGCAAGTCTCAAACTTTATTGTACTATAAACTAATGGTAAATCAATAAAAAGCACTAAAGTTAAAAAAAAAACTGTATTATTAGACTTTCTGAAGACTACGAGCCTACATTAATATGATACATATTTAAATACACATTCAATATACCCCTAATTTTTGGATAAGTAAATTTCTCAATCACACAAATGTTAGCTATTGCTGTATTGTGCAATAAATTTACTAGTAAGACATGTACTTTCTGTATTGTTCTTAAGTCATCTTCACCGACATGAGCAGCTTCAAGAATCAAATCAACTATACCAGGTCATGCAGCAGAATTTATGGCTGATAAGGAACACAAAACATGAGAGAAAATGAAAGACAGAAAAATTACCTTTCACAGAAAATCTATGCTCATCTCAATCTCACATCATGTATTCCCTTCCCTTCATTTGATTTTTATGGGAATCTTACAAAAAAAAAAAAAAAAAGAACAGAAAATAGGCTAAATTGTGCTTCACTGTCAAGAGAAATCTTTGGTCAGGGATATAGCTAACGCCCTGAGCTTTCATCATTAATGTTTTATGAGTCTTATGATCTGTCCTATGTAGAAGAAAAATTTATCTTTCATTTGTGCAAGCACTGCCTGCCGAGTAATAGATTTCATCTCTGTAAGTTGAGTGGTGAAATGCAAACGGCAGCAAAGGTAAGAGAAGGCAGACCCTTAACTTGGCTTCTTTTACTGGAGTCTGCCTGCACTTTACTGGAATTGCTGAGTCAGCCAAAAAAAGTGAAAGATCTCTGGGGAACTGTGAAGATGGTCAGTTCTTTGCCAATATATTTTCACCTACACGTTGAATGGTCACCTGTTGGAGTTGACCTCTAAATGAAATGATTCGCTAAGGGGACATTTTTCAAGCATAAACATTTAGAAAGAAATTTGATGTTTTCAAGGATGGAAAATCATTAACTTAAACTTGAAAATCTCCATTATAGATGAGATGACTAAAGACCAATTTATGATCTTTGAATGCTTTGAACTGAAAAGCAGGATGTTTTGGTCCTTGGTTGAGCATGACTCAGCATTGCTGAAAGGAGACTGTGTAAGCACAGCCCATCCACAACATAAAAGGGTTTAATAGTCTTGGACAGTATCATCTACAGTCATAGTCAAAAACACAATGGGTGTCTGACTCTGAGGTCCACTACCTAGACACAGGGCCATCTGAGTCACAGATACTGGAGTGTGGTTCTCTCCTGTGGCTGAAAAGCTAAGTTCTAGAGAAATGCATTTCTTGTATAATCAGAAAAAAGAATTCTGGTTTTAAGTAAGTGTTTTCCCTTGCTAGATAATTTGGAATTTAAAACTATATGAAACATATTTGCTGCTACCATATTCCATGCAATAATCCTTAATAACGTTTGTGGCTGAGTGATGATTTATTCAAATTAAAGCATCTAATCATAAATTTACATAAAGTACCACTTTAGAGATCACTTGATAATAAAATGACAAAGATTAATTTACAGAACTCGAAGGTTGACCACTTAGTTGAAGGTATAGCATATATGCATAAAAATAATACAAAACAAAATACCAAGTGATAAGAATATAGGTATTAGATGCATAGAAATAAAAGGACAACTCTTTTGGGAGTTCTCTTTCTGCAGCTTCCCTTTTGAATTTTCAGTAGAGCCTTATTTAAAAGACATCTATTGTCCCTCTAGCCAATTAGATAAGAAAATCAGATGACTTTTCTTCCAAACAATACCCTAAAATGCAAATCTGGTCTTATCACTCTTAACTCTGACCTCTTCATTGGTGTCTGTTGGTCTGTTTGTGAAATACATTTTTTTTTTTTTTTAAAGATTTATTTATTTATTTATTATTTATTATTTTTTTATACAAGCACTGGGTACAGTCAGAAGCGTAGGGTGAGAGAATTAGCTCGCAACCCAGCGCTCAACCGCTCAGTTTGTGAAATACATTTTAAGCCATATATTTTACTTCACTAAGAATCTTACATCTCTGCCACACTAAACTACTTGCCATTTTTCAAACAGATTTCATGTGAACTTTCAAGCTTCAGTGCTTTTGCACATATATTCCATTTTCCTAGACAAAACTCTGATCAAGTGTCACCTCTGTTATAACAACTATAACCCTTTCAGTAACACTGGTATCTTCTCTTGAGATTATAATTAGAGGATTAACAACATTTTATTGCATTCTTTCTGAGTGTCTGTATTTTCCGAATGCTATAAACTTAGGACAGAGATCACATCATGTCATCATCGTGTTTGGAATATAATACATTCAAATAATTGTTAAATGACTAATATAATTAAATGATAATGGCATCATTATGCTAATGGGAGCTTTTAGGGGAAAATAATGCAAGATTTCTTTTGCAGACAGAATTCTTTTATTTTTTTAATTTTTAAATGCAGTACTTTTTTTTTACATTGTTAATTTTTGGACAATATATTATTTCTCCCCTCAGTTGTGGTCACTGCAGTTCTTTCATCACCACAGCACCCATCACAGACAAAATTTTAAATTCTATGCACTAAGATTTGAGGAAGTAGTTTTGATCTGGCAGTTCTTTGTGGACCTCTTAAATAGTAGATTATTATAGATTTACCTCAATGTAAGAACTTTTAAAATCTAGATTTTAATATATTTGCTGGCTTCTTTGCTTAGTTGTTAACTAAATCTTTGCTTAGGTAGATTCTTTTTAAGAGAGGCTAGCTATGAAAATCCACAATTTACATTAAATAGAAGTATATTTTTATCTATATATTTTTATTACTAATAGAATATTGGGTTCTAACTTATCCATAAAATTATAATATTTCTTTGCAACATATAAATGCTATAACAATTATGCTAGAAAAATAGTGCATCAAACTAAAAATCCTCATCACAATATCACAGCTCTATTATAATTCCTTTGAATAAATAATATAAATAAATAGTATAAATCTTCCAAAATCTATAAAAATGCTTTGTGTCATACCAAATAAAATATACATCCTCCTCTCATCATGTCTTTC